TCAGGACTCTTTCAGCTGTGACAGACATACAATTAAAATTATCTTGGGCCAAAAGGGGAGTTTATTTAAAAAGTATTGAAATACCACATGGAGCTCTGGGAAAGTCCATGGAAGAGTTGGGCTTCAGAGGCTGCTGGAATTAGGACTAGAAAACCTCCAGGGTTCTCTTCCTGTAGTCTTCATTTGCCCCCTCCGAGGGTAGGGATTTTAAGATTATTATCTTTTTATAGAAATACTATCAAATACCCGTTTATCTACTCATTACCTGGTTATGATGTAAGTTAACATTTTTACAAAATTTGCTTCCCTTTTTTTTTAGGGAAATGACTTATCATGACTTATATAGCCATCAATATGTCCACCCTATTGATGGAATTATCTGCCAGATTTTCACCATCACACATAAGGTGGCACCGAGTACCCTTATACCGTCTCCTTAAGTATATATGCAAGGATTTATTTATGCTCAGAAGTAGAATTTCTGGGTATTAAGATATATGCATCTTCAATTTTGTAAAATACTACCATCAGTAGAGTATTAATATACCCATCCTTTCATGTCCTTATAGAGGTTTTTTATTTTTATCAACCTAATGGATATAAAATGGTACCTCATTATTTTTTTACTTTGCATTTCACTAATTACTGAATTTAGGACTGAATTTTAAGCCTGAATTTATCTTAAAATATTTATTAGCCATCTGTGTTTTCCTACTGTGAATTGACTGTTTATAGGCTTTGTCCATTTTTCTCTTCTTTTTTTTTTTAATATGTCTTTATTGATTTCAGAGAGAGGAAGGGGGAAGGAGAGAGAGAGAGAGGGAAACATCCATGATGAGAGAGTCGTCACTGATCTTCTGCCTCCTGCACGCCCCCCACTGGGGATCGAGCCCGAACCGGGGCATGTGCCCTGGCCGGGGATTGAACTGCCATATCCTGGATCCTAGGTCGATGCTCAACCACTGAGCCACCCCTGGCCGGGCCTTTGTCCATTTTTCTGTGGGATTCTGTCTTTCATTGATATGTGAGAATGTTTTATTCTGGGTACTAATCTTGTTTTGATTAATTTTATGATACCTTCTTCTACTCCATGGCTTCTCTTCTAACTGCTCCCGGTGTCTTTTGATCAGTAGAAATTTTAAATTGTAATTTAATCAGTACCTATATATAAAATGTCAGACTATAAACTTTGTAGAAATTACATATATGTGTGTATATATACACACACACATGTATACATATATATACACATATATGTATATGTAGCACATAGTGATTGAGGCATCATCTATAAACAAAGGAGTTATTTTATGTCCTTCAATAAATTTTGTATTTTTTCCATAAATGTCTTATAAATCTTGTTACATATATTCCTATAGGAACCTTAGAGATTTTATTGCAGTTATAAATGGAATTTTTTCACTTTAATTATGATTTCTAATTTCTTATTGCTAACATATGAGTATACTATTTTGTGTATTGATCCTGTATCCAACAACCTTCCTGAAACTTGCTTGTTGTTATGATTTGAAGATTATCTTGGATTTTTAAATGTAGACAATTTTATCATCTGTGGACAATGAAAATATTTTTCTTCCATTCCAGTTATTATACTTATGCTTCTGTTTCTTGTTTTACTGCATTTGCTAGAAAGGCTGATAGAGGACTTCTCTGACTAGGAATGTTTTGGGGGAGGATTTTCAGCAGCTTAGTTTTAATTCTTATTTACTGTTTTCTTCTCATAGTAATGTTCCCCCTTTTTTAAAATTTAAAATATGTTTAATTTTCCTGGACTAGCAACAATCAGGTAAATTCTATGGAGGGGGAGTGAGAAGTTTGGACAGTTTCCTCAATATCATAGTTCAAGAGTGCCCTCTTCTGTTAGAACAGTGAAGTGAACTTTATGTCATTAATGGCATTATTTTATTTTATTTTTTTTGAGGAGTGATGGTTCTAGGACCTTTAATTACTGGGCTTGATTTCTTATTTTTCTTTACTTTGCCAGTTGCCCTACACCCCCACCTCCCTGGAAGCAGTACCTTACCAAGGCTGCCATTGTGGTCTTACATACTTTCCTAGCCTCTTTCTTGAAAGCCAGAGTTCAAATCCTCTAGTCTCAGTCTTGCTCTCCATTTTTCCCCATCAAGGAAGGATGCTCTGTTTCTGGGTCCATGTCCTCTGTGTTCCATCCCCACTAGGAGTTGCCACTCTCTCCTCTCTTCCATGGAATCCTCCCCCCCCCCCCCC